GGATAGTTGGCCAATCAGAGCACACCTCGCTTTTCAGAACAATGAGCTTTGTAAAAATTGACGCGTTTCAGAAAGGCGGGGCATAGAGGAGAAACAATAATGTACAGTATGTGGAAAATAATGTGTTTTTTGAACCTTAAACCGCATAAACACATTTCATTACACCAAATACACAAAATAATGTTCTTTTTAGCAACATCATATGACCCCTTTAAAATATTGTCTTATTTTAGTGAACCAAGTATCTGTATTTTGTCTCATCTCGTGAGCTAAGTGTATTGTCACACTCTTAGTGTCGATAAGCGGTGATTATAGCTCATCATTTTCCAAGTATATGATATAGATTTCATTCTTCAGGTCAACCATATATTCATGAAAAAAACATCAGTTTGAATAAGGAAAGCAATAACTTTGCCATAGTATCCTTTCAAATGTTAAAGAAAGGACCCACCCCCGAAATTTAACAGGAGAATGCACGTTTTAAGCACTTCTGCCGAGCCCGCACAGACAAAGCGGCATTATGTCACGAAAGTGCAGACTCAGAGGAAGACCGCGAGGGTTTAGGGTGCCATTTGGGACAGGGCCCATTTTGCAGGCATGTTTGTTCAAGGCCTTGAACAGAATCGACTCAAAAAAAACGATTCATTCGCGACTGGGGCATCGTTCATGCTCCAGATAAAGGAAACAGTGCGCTTGGAATAAATTATGTATTTCTTAACATGTATTGCATAAAAATTAAGTAACGAGAGGAACGTTGGCCAGTGTAGCGAAGTAAAAGTACAGCTTTTTTGTTATAAATGTACTCGAGTTAAAGTAAAAGTATCCATCTTTTAATCTAATCTTAAAAGTACAAATTTTCCAAAAATGTACTCAAGTAAATGTAACTGAGTAAATGTACTTTGTTTCTACCCGCCTCTAGTGGAGCTAAATATGAACATCAGACAGTCAGGTATAATGAGGCGAGACTTACTGACAGATAAAATATGTTACTAAATAAATACATGATTGTGATAGCCTATATGATTTGTCTGATTTCAAGCGGTCGTATGTACCATGCGTACCGTGCATAGTCCTTTGCATCGTTTGCCTGCTGACTGCATATATCTACTACAGTACACGGATCCATTCAGTATAACTAAACACAGCAACATAAACATGACAAATCAAAACATTATTGTGAATATGTGTGGAAACAACGTGAATGTATGGAAATGTCTGTGCCTGTGCATAAATACAATGTGCGATCAGTGCGTCAAGAGTTTTTATACAGTCTATGGTTAAGAGCACTCATACATGCATTATTATAACGGACTCACGCATTCTTACTGTACTGTATGACTCCTGTACGCCACCGCAATCGTCTTTACCTTGATTGCAGTCTTCATCCATCAAAACTTTACTAGCGAGACTGGTTATCAAGTGGAGAAAACGTAGTTTGCGTCTCATCTGGCCATACAGCGGTGGGATGTGTTGACAATCCGTTCAGTCTGTACTTCACACAGCGCGTGTGACGTGTGATGGCTCGTGCTCTTCAAAGACAATCACAGAATATGACAGAGCTCGTGTTTTTAAAGCCAAACACACTGGAATGAAAAATTCACTGAAAACGCAATGCGAGTCTCTGTTCTCTCTGCAATCTCTGATATAATCAGCCTTGTTTCCTTTATATTAGTGCTTTTTTGGACGGATTTTTTGAATGCATTCACTTACTGGATCATTGGACTGAAAACTTTCCCGGAGTTTAGCAGCTTAAAATGATCTGATCGTTAGCAGAGAAGCAAAATTGGGTTAAAGGGTTAGAATAGAAATTGTGCTTCAGTAATTTTGCCCCGAATGAGGCACAATGAAGCCCCGGAAGTGACAGTGGAAACGCGACTGGCCCTGGCATGCACTAGCACGTCCGCTTTTGGCCCATCAGTGGAAACGCGGCTATTGACAACCCCCTGAAGTGCTGTCACTGTGCTGTAGAGAGTGCAATTGTAAAAACATTCACAGAGGTTGTGTGACAAACCTTGAAAGCTTGAAGTTGAGTAATGACCACTTTCTCTAGTGTCTATGAAAGAAACAGAAGATTTGAAATCGATCTGTAATTGGTCATGTCAGTTAGGTTTGTGGCTGGGTTTTTTTTTTTTTAGGACAGGGGCGACAGCCACAATTCCTGAGGAACAGTACCAGTACTAAATAGATGGGAAATGAGAATATGAAATGAACATCAAAATTACTGGTACACAGTTTTTGTGTAAGACAGTAGGAGCAGGATCAAGATGAC